ATCCAACAAAAGATAGTTCCTCCTAGCATAAATCCCAGTATCATATAGCTTTCTTTTCCTTCCAAAAAGCTATTTTAAAAAATCAGCAGCTTCGTTTAACCCTCAAGACAGCCCAAGAGTTTCGGATGTACATCGGTGTCAAGCAAAAGAAGACTGAGTTGGGAGATGGAGGAGGCAATGCAAATCTAAGATGACACCAGGCCCATAATCCCAGCTAGCACCAACTTGATATTTCTGCTGCCTTGCTACAGGCACGGCACGGGACCATCTGAGGCTTTGGCAAGGAGTAGGGCAGTCATAGCAGCTGGGACCTCATTGAGCACGGGACCATCTGAGGCTTTGGCAAGGGCAGTCATAGCAGCTGGGACCTCATTGGATCTGTTATGCTTTAGCCAGCTAAGGATCTGACACAGCACCCACCCCAGAGAGGAGCAACAAGCTGAAGTGCTCAGATTCACTCACCCAGGGGACTCTAACATAGAGGTGGATGTCTGATCTAAGCACGTACTCTTTAACTCACGTGCCTTGCAAGCCCAAAAGCACGGTATTTGTGCATGCCATTGGGAAACTATGCTGGAAACAGGAGCTAAGTATGCAATTATTCATCTCATGAAAAAGAAGTTTCACAATCTTCTTGATAATCAAACTTGTCCTGTTTTTTTTCACTGAGGCAACACAAGCCTTTCCCCTAAAGGGGTAAGAGACGCATGCAAGGCAGGAGTGATTAGAAAACAAGGAACAAGAAACTGGGATCAACAATGGGTACAGACAAGTTTTCTACATCTGAGCTACCGTTCAGCAGTAAACCAGTATAGAAATCAAACACTTCTAGAAATTCTCCACGCGCATGTCAGGATGCACAGAAGAATTCAGGTAACAGGCACTGCAAACAGTCATGTGTCTGCGTCTGTATTCCTGTCCATGAGAGACGGAGATGACAATCAGGCAAGACCAGGGACAGATTGCAGCACCAGACTGGCCAGGAGCAGGACAGGCACAGAACAAGCATAAGGAGAGAAGGCATGGAAAAGATATCAATATGTACTCAACTTCTTTCCTTACCACACTCATTTCATTATGTGGGAAAGCCCCATACAAAGTTAAGAGACTGACTCTTCCTACAACCTCCAGTCTTAGTGTCTGCTAGACAGAGAGCTTTGATGCAAACTAAATGTCACAGAATTGGTCCCACACAAGCTCTCAGCTTGAAGAGTCAAGAGTTAATCCCTGGAAGTGTGCACAGTCTAGATATTTCAGCCTTAGCTGAGCAGCCAGATGACCTAAATACCATTTCCCCAGCTGTTTACATGACCTTTGGCAAGTCTACTCCACCTGTGCTCTCCTCTGTTAGACAGCAGTTGGTCCTGGTACTGTCTCTGATGACATGTCCACGCAGCGCCTGGTCTATGGAAGACCCAGTTCTTAGCACCAGCATTGCCAAAGGTCCCTCACCAGCAGGGACTCGCTACACCTTTAAGTTGTAGAAGTGCAAGGTCTTCCAAGGCATTGACAAGACCCTGGACAGACAGTAGCTGTTGGCTGATGGCCTTCACCAGGTAGCACCTCGTTCTCTTTCGAGTAAGGAAGAGCTGGAAAGGGGCAAAACCAAACAGGAGCACACCAGCCACCAGCATAAGGGACAAAACATTGGTCCTGATCCAAGGACCAAGAAGTACCCAAGAGTAACATGTCTCCGTGTGCCTGTTAGTCAAGCTGTACCAGTTCCTTAGCCTGTTGGACAAACTCCAGCTGCAATGAGGTGGTGCTGAAACTGTGCATCATGAGCTGCACCAGCTGGTCCCATCCTCCTCCTGTCCTACACAGCACAGATTAGGCTGCCAAGGCAGGAGAACTAGATGGTCATGGTGGGGATGGTCACCGTTTCAAGCTGTGTCCCCCTCCGTGTGACCTGTGGTACTTGCTTCTACCCTGAGGGCAGAGGAGCGAGTCAGGATGCCCATCCGTCTGGCCGTAGGTGCCATCCAAAGGTCAGCTACATTGCTCTCAGAACTTTGGAAAGCTCAGGTGGTTTACAGACACTTTGAGAAGATACCAAGCACCTCTGCAATCGCACCAAGCCCCACATCATATCCAAAGACACAAGCTCACTTGGGACACCATACCACATGGCTTTACACAACTAATGTGCTTACTGCTCAGTAAAGCAATTCTAATTCTTACTCCACAGAACAAAACAGATAGAAATACCAGTCGTTAGAGCAGCTACCTTCGACAGCGATGGCTGGCCAAAGAGAGGCATAGGGACTCTATTTGAGGATTACTGTTCTGTAACAACACACACAGAAACAAGGAAGCCTTTTTTAAATAAACCCATCATGCCCACTTGGTTAAAAGAGTGAAACATGATGCACGATTCCAAATTATTTATTGCTCTGTGGTAGCTTGTCTAACTAAAGGCCTTGCTAAAGAGGAAAACAAACACTAGCCTCTGGCAGTCAGTCCTAATTCCACAGGAGCTGCTATACATGCAGACAGCCAGAAAACAGGAAAACAGACCAAAAAAACCCACTTTCCTATGTCAGCACCAAGCTGTCATCTTTCAGCTCAGAACAGCTTCTTCCTCTCTGCAAAGTTATCTGAAGCCATCAGCCTTTCCATAGTTAGTTGGATGGATAAGTTTCCAGAAAACTGTGTAATAATAAAGTATTGTATTGCTTTTTCATTGCAGCAGAACGATTACAACCCTTCCCGCTCTGAAAATGGCATGAAAATTTGTCTAAGTTGGAGCAGAGAAGTGGTACCCGTGAGATAAGCAAGTACTTAATCGCATGAGTCTTTTGGGCTGCAGAACAGCCCAGCTGGGAAACGGCACAGAGGTCTACAGTGCTTGACTGCAGGAGGACAGTGACTTTTACCAGGGCTCTTCCAAACGCTCTGAGCAGGGCGGCACAACCCCACTTGCAATGCTGGAACCTTATTCCCACTCCTTGGCAAGCTATGTCAGATGCATCCAGTCGGTGGATCAGAGGAATCCAATAGCCAGAGGCATCTGGCACACGGAGACATGAAAGAGGAGCAAGAGTGCAGAGCTATAGATAGGCAAGAGACTCACTGAAGGAAGATGGAGAGCAGAAGCCAACTAGATTTTTTTCTTAATGCACGAGATATTTTTGTGGCCAAGATCAGTTCCGCTCCCCGCCTCCCACCATCACCCAGATGGGTTTTTTGGGTTCCTCCTGAGAAGCCACCATTTGATTTGAGCAGGCTGGGAAAGGCTCTCCTCAAACACAGGTAGCATGGGAGAAGATGACGAGGGCCAGCCAGCAGCTGAGCAACTCTGAAGAGCAGAGCAAGTCTTTGCCCAGTCTTCCCCCTGTTCCTATCCCTCCCAGTTCCCAAATCCCCCACTGAGATAGCAGCATAGACCAGACAGCCCGTCAGCAACCCACCTTTGCTGTAAGAGCAATGACAAGTCACTGCAACGCTGTCCCTGGAGACAGAGCAAACCAGGAGGAGGTGACCTTCCTTCTGCGGCCACATGAGATCAGTGGCCCTCTCCTTGCCTTTGATTGACCTTCCCACAGCACCACGTTGACCGTATCCAACCTCTCCCTTCAGCGGCTAAATGGGGACAGCAAGGTCCCGTCCCACTGGGCTGGAAGCCACCTGCAACCGCGAGGCACGTCGGCTACATAACAAGTCCAACTGCCCGGAGACATGGTGCCGGAGAAGCAAAGGCACTTCGTCCCACAGCGTTGCGGTGAATCGCACCATTATATCCAGCTCCCGTGGCACACATCCATCAGCACTGGGAGGGATTTTGTGAATATTTGCCTCGATGCAACTAGGAAATGAGCAACATTCCTGTTTTACGGAGACAGAGATGGTAGGATTTTGCTGAATTCAACAGCCTCCCCAAACTGTCTGGTGTCTTAAACATGGGCGCATCCTTTCCTAGCCCTACAAAATACCCAAGCAATAAACTTTGGAGAGAGATGCTGTCGTGCACTGAACATCACCCCATTTCCAAAGCTGTAACCCCCGATCATCATGGCACAGAGCCAAATCTTTTGCAATAAGACCACGATCTCCCACGAGACCACTTCAACAACAATTTAGTAACATCTCCCGGCAGCCAAACACCACCTGAGCAGAAAGTCCGTCTTACCATGGGTTGAGCTGTCAGCCAGGATATGTAGCCATGTGAATGGAAAGAGCTGGTGATGAAAGCTGCCTGCTCTAACTTTCAGCTACTTTATTTAGTCACTTTAAGGGGAGGGAAAAAAAGGGGGGGGGGAAATCAAGGAAGTAATGTTCCTCTCCCAAGGTGCACCGCAAAACATTCTTGGTAGACATGGAAACCCCTGGCAGGCTGCCATCACTTGGCCAGTCTCCACATTAACGTTTCAGCAGGCAACTCAATACTTGAATGGCTTTTAGAGAATTTAAAGGGAAACGGCAGCTGTGGATGGGCGATGCGGCTGCTGCTCCCTGTAGGCAGGCGTTAGGGGTGTTCCTGAGTTTGCCTTCAGCTCTGTGGGGAAGCTTGTCGTGCTTCTGTGGTGCACAGGGCAGGCAAGTTATGACGGAGCCATCTGAAAACAAATGCAGCCTCCGCACTTCTACAGAGGAGGTTTCCTAGCCACAGTCTTCAGGGACTGAGGGCAACCTTCAAATACCTAAAGGGGAGCTGCGAAGATGAAGGGAAAAACGATTCATGATGCTCTGGGGATTAAACTGCAGCTAAAGGTATTTAAGAAGATCCTCCCTTTCCCATTCCTCCCTTCTCCTGGCTTCTCCCCTCTCCTGGTTCCCAGCTCTCCTCCCCTGCCCTGGGACTGTCTCCTCTTTGCTTACAGTTGGGCTGAAGAGCAGTGGGGAACTGGGAGCCTGGTCTCCCTGGAAATCTCCAGACGCCCAGGAGACCAGGCAAGCACATGGGCTTGGGACCTCACTGCTCTGGGGGAAGAGTGAGGAGAGCAGAGAAAGCCTGGAAGTGATTGCTGGAGGACATGGGGGCTCTGGGGGTGGTTGGACAGAGATGATCCCACACTCGGGCAGGAAAGGAGACCCTCCATCTTCCCCCAAATCCCTTATCCCCACTCATTCAGGAACGTGTATTCTGCATGGCAAAGGGTTATTTCTCTCCAAACACTGTAACCCTGCACCCTATAATTACCGCAGCTTCAAGGTGCTTCGAAGCACATGGAGGAAAGAAATCAACGTGCACCCAGGAAAACAAGCAGCGTAACAGAGCTGTGACGTGCACAAAATTCACCCACCGTGTCAGTCTTGGATTTCCGTCAACAGTGCCTGCAAACAGTTTTACGACACAAGTGAGCACGAGCACACGCAGGACACACAACTTCTCTCTTCAGGAGCCCTCTCACAAAAGACGTTTGCATTAGAAACCTCTGTTAAGAAATCCCAGCTACTTGGCAGATATCAATAAAGCCAGAATAAAGCAAGGAGACTCACCTCCCTGCTCTCTTCTTACGTGCTCGGTGCATCTCCTGGGAGACCAGACCACAAGTCCCCCGTGGCTCTTCGTCCATTTGCCCATCAGCTCAAACGTAGGCAGACAGCAAAGGATGGGGGGAGGCAGGCAAGAGCCACATCCCCTTTCAGCGGTTTGACCCCTGGGGCTCTCGCTGCCGCACTGAGCAAACTCGCGTGGTTCAGGACTGCGACGTTCTCCCAAACGGCATTGTCGTGCTTTTGCGTAGCAACAACACCAGCACCGCAGTGACTGGCGAGGTGACACGTTTAGCAAGAGCCACATTTCATTTATTTCCCAAGAGGATGCAAAAGGCACAAGCTATAAATAGGAAGCTGACAAGTTTAACAGCGCCTGTGGTTTCACTAAGGGACTCGTGGTCATCCACTAATTGGTGAGTACATAACAGCATGTGCAATGTGGGCTATGAGTAACTTTATCCGTTGAGGGGTCGTTGCTGGTAGGGCTGTATATGGGAAGAGACAACTATTTCCCCTCACTCTGCAAAGCCCGCTTCCTTACTGTTGCTAAATTCAGAAGTTTTGCAACACTTTTTTTTTCTCTCTCTTTATAAAATATCCAGCTCGAGGGGTCAGCCCTCAAATTAGAAGTAGATGCTTGCATATAAAGAGTTTGTTTGTCCTCCTTGTCATGAAAGAAAATTAAAAAAAAAAAAACAAAAAACCCCAAAAAAGAACTCTGAAAGCTGAAAGGAATAGAAGGCCAACATGAAATCTTATAACTTAAAATCCCAGCAGGAGATTCTGCTCTGAGCTACTCCAAGTATTTTCAAATTGTCCCAAGGAAAGAAGCTGAAATGAAGTTATGAAGTGCTGAAAGGTTTGGAGTCTGCAGAAATCCACATTTTTTTTTTCCTGAAAACTAAAGGAGGCACTCAGCTTCAGTGACTTAGGAATAGAAGGCCAACATGAAATCTTATAACTTAAAATCCCAGCAGGAGATTCTGCTCTGAGCTACTCCAAGTATTTTCAAATTGTCCCAAGGAAAGAAGCTGAAATGAAGTTATGAAGTGCTGAAAGGTTTGGAGTCTGCAGAAATCCACATTTTTTTTTTCCTGAAAACTAAAGGAGGCACTCAGCTTCAGTGACTTATAGAGTGACTTATTATAGTGACTTCAGTGACTTATAGAGTAAGAAATCTGGAGGTTGGAAAAAAAAAACACCCGATCCAGTTTGTTTGTGCTATTTTTGCATAGCTCTTGGCACAAGTGTTGTCCAGCAGTGGGTTGATGCCACGGCAGGCCTGGTTCATGAGCACACAGAGAGGAGACACCTCCCCATCAGCTACAGGAAAGTCACAGTCTAACTTGCCCGGTGCATTAAAAAAAAACAAAACACCAAAAAACTACACCTCTTGAGAACCCGCAAATAAAAGGATGGGAGCAGCGTTGAACCCCAGCCCATGGGCAAGGCACTAATAATAAACTGCACGCTGGAAATAGCAGCCCAGAGGCTTAGGGAGCTCATACCGTGTTTGACCCAGGGCGCAGCAGGTTCATTTCCACAAGCTCCTCTTAAACAGGCTGGTGCTTAGACAATGGTTTCTAAAAGGAAGCAGTCCCGTAAGCAGCAGGACTGGCAGCCCAGTTTGCCGTGGATTTATGCCCTGTGGTTGCATTCGCTGGTGTCTAGCAAGATGCGGGCACAAACCAAAGCTCCCCATGGCTCGGCTGGTCACAGCATCTCTGCCCAGCGTGGATCCTCTGGTGTCCAGCAGGAATTGTCCACATACTGTCCTTCTTCCTTCCATGGGGACTACAGCTGATTTCATGTTTTACCCAATGGCATACTTTTTTAAATGAAATGCACAGAAATTCAATATTCTCCCAGACCTTTATCCCTTGGCCAATTTCAGCTGAATGAAAACAACAGCAAATTTTAGAAGTCCAGAGGAGGGAAGGTAGGGTGAAGGGAGAAGGAGAGGGGCAAGCAAAGTATCATGTCCAAAAGCCCCATTTCCTTAAGAAATCAAGCTGAAAAACATTAAAACCAGCTCGGCAAACCACTGCTTGGGATCTCAGAGCCCCAGACTGGATTTTCATTGGGGAAAGAAGGACCAAGCTGCACAACTTCTGAGTCATATGCGTAATTCCCTGCCTCGATGCTGCCACCGTCTGTTGTCTGCTGATGAGACCTCATAACACAGCATCCTGCGTTCCCTTTCCACCGCACCCAATTCTTATACCGATTTTCTGAGCACACGGTTTCCCATCGTCTCACGCGTGGGACCGCAGCAGCTGACACTCACCGTGTAAGTCTGCAGCGAGCACAAATGCAGCAGAGAACCGAACGGCTGCTTTTCATCCAAAGCAATGCACACGTTGGCATCATTCCACCCCTCCTCTAATCTTCATAATCTCATCAGTAATGCGAACCTTAAAGCTGGCCTGCCTATTTGAGCTTGTAAAATATTAATTTGCTATGGGGCTATTTTTCCTGAAATTGTGCTTATGTCTCTACAAGTGCTAGAACACAGTAGCAGAAGTGACTAGGTCCTCCCAGATCTCATCGCTTGTTTTCTCACCTCGAATCCCAGGCTTCTCCCAGTAAAGAATACTACAAGAAATTATGAGTATGGGAGAATATAGTAAGCCTGGTTCATCCAGTCACTCTCCTCCTGACTCTCTTTTTCGCTCTGTGGCCGAAGGTTTTGTTTGCTCCTTGGTGGAAGGACAGTCCAGCTGAGTGTCCCGTGCCCTCTCAAACCCCTCAAGCTGCGTTTTCCCTACCCATCTGATTCAGATAGTTTTCTTGATCCCTTTGAGCAGAGCTGAGCTGGAGATGGTGGCCCTGAAGCTTTAGGTTCTACAGCCTGCTATGCACATGCTCTTCCCAGTTGCCTTCAGCTCCCTTCAGAGATCAAGTCCAGGTGAAGTTGCAGACTGTAGCGACACATCCACAAGATCCTTCAGGGATGAAAGATGCTTTTAAAATCCCGAGATGTCAAATACTCATCTCTAGTAACACTGGACTCTGCTAGCATAGGGTAGCTATGATGCTGATGATGCATCTGCTTGGCTTACAGCCCTTTTTCATTAGGGGAAGAGAATTCTCTCAACAGGCCAGGAGAAAAACAAGAACAAGAGAGCTGGAATCAGTCAGGCAGCTGTTAAAAAAAGAAAAGTGCAAAGTCAGGGTTTTAATGAGTGAATCACCTTCCTCTGGGGGAGCAGCGAAAGCTCTGAGTGCTGCTTTGCTCCCTGCGTTCCCCCCTTCATGAAGCCCGGCTTGAGGAGCAGCAGA